GAAGATCCTGCTGAAATGAAAGGGGCACGTTCCTATACTGAAATACTGTCCAAAGGAAAGCACAATTCATCCCAATAAACATGAAAATTCCTGAATGGCTGGACCTACTAGCATCCAGCCAGTTATGTTTAAGACTTAGAGCATTACCTATGAATGTTTGAATTAATGTAAATGGATTTGCTTTGCTGCTCTTGAAGCCTGGCAGATTCAGCAAAAGTGAGTTAAGCAAAACTATAGAGGGCTAGATTCTCCAAAAGTAATGATGAAACTTCATCAGTGAAGTGTTACACTAAGCTGCTGCATATGTGTGTGCACTGAATTTTACAAGCTAGGTGATAGACAGAATTTATCTATCTCATGAATTAACATTAAATAAATGCTTACTATTCAAAGCAGAAAGATACAAAAAGAATCAAGTAAGCAAATTCATACCCAGGCTATGCTGAGGCACAGGAGCACACAGAGGATCCTCACAGGTATCATCTTCAGGAGAAGAGCAAGGACTCTGACTGAAAGGATGCTTTTTGCCAGTCTTTTGGTGCAATTTAAACCTGAATGTGAAGCTGAGATTAATCATTATGCTCCCTTCTGTTTGTAGAAAAAACACACCACATGCCCCCCTTCCCCTTCAGTGATTACTTAAGGCCTCTTGCACAAGTTTCTGGTGTTATTTGCTCCAGATAAGTTTGTTCAACACCAACATGCGGGCAACACCAAGAATTCCAGGAAAAAATTCTGTCTAAAACTGTTTCTTGTAACTGGACAATCAACCAAGATGTGTGTCAGAGCTAGTGGGATCCAGCAGTGCTTACCTGCTGGAAAACACACACTCAGTGTGATGGGCATTTGGCTGCATAAACAAAGAGCTGATATTTGAAAAAGGAAGTCATTGCTTTGCCTGCATGTTGGTGTCGAACAAAATATACTGAGGTCCATGGAGAATGTCCCAGTCAAACTCAAAAAAGCTCAATTTTTAACTCCAAAATAGACACAAAAGTCTAGTGAAAAATCACAAGCTTGTGATCTTCATGCTCAGGAGCACAGGAATTGCAGGCGCAATCATTGCGGGTTCTCCTTGGGCATACAGTCATGGACTGTGCTTTACCCCAGGATCACGTATGATATTTCTTCCACTGAACCCCTTCTGCCTCACACTGAGTATGGGGATGGTGCTCCACAGGCAAGCATCTGCCCAGAGCTGTACGCTCTTTTCATTGTAGGGTGATGCTCTGCAGACTGCTTAAAGCTTCAAGGATTTTCCTATGGTACATTACATTCATTCCCTGGCCTTTTCACAGTTGTAGAAACCAGGTGAGAAGGTTAAGTCCAAAAGTAGCTATTAATTTTTAGGATCCATTTTGATAGCCTGAAGCCTTCGGAGCACACCCTATGCGCAGATCCCATTGTTGGCAGCTGCCTCTCTGTGCCAGCATCACGGGGCTCAGGGGGAACAGCTGGCAGCCAGCTCTGAGACACATGAGTGTCTTACCTCTGGTCCCACAGGAACTGGCTGACCAGGGCATGAATAGCCCCTAATTCTGCAGGGTATCAGCTGTAAGTAAGGCACCACTGTGCCCCACCCTGTCCTGCTAACTATATGTATTAGAATCTATGCAAAAACTAACGCATCCTTCATAATGCAGATGTGACATGTCACTTGGGTTCTAACTCTTCCCAGTTTGTCAGTGCTTGATTTTGTGATCATCAATAATAACTTAACATTATATTTGTAATTTAATGGGCCTTAAAAATCAATAGTAGTATGAGCTCATAAAGCAGAAGAATTTCTGCCTTTTCAACCATGCTGACAGAGGATGTGATGATTTGCTAGGAGATGTTCCAGGCACTGGTCACCAGGGTAAGAGGGGACATGGCAAGTAGCATGTTCCAGACCTCTTCTGACCCTGAGGGATGGCACAGCTCTCTGGTGACACTCAAACACAGCAAACCTAACTCTGGTCCAAGTAAAACTCAGCCACCAAGGCTAGAGGGACTGGAAAAAACTTGGCATAAACATTAGGTAAGCTAAGAGGGGTTTCCTGCTTGCTGTGAAGGCAGCTGCTGGGGGAAGCTGGGGTGAAAGAGGAGCTTCTCAGGCTTTACAAACAGGGGCCGAACCTGTGTGCCTGACCTTCAGTCTGTACCTCTGCTTTCATGTTGCAATCATTCAGTCACTTCTGTTGGTGTTTGTTTGAAAAGCTGCAGGCCAAGAGCTAGATAAACTTTGGATTTAACTTTAATTCAGGATCAAAGGACAGAAGTGCAGTTCACTACTTCATCTGCCCTGCTTTTGGCTAAATGCCACAGTAACAGTCGGGGAGTCTGGGATTTAGAGGTGGTTTGTGTGCCCTAGATGTGAGCCTCACCTTGTTTGCCCAGCACCCTCTGTGTCTCCTGCCACACCACCAGCTTCCAAGTGGTGCCTTCTGCTCCTCCTGCTTGCTCATTCATAACCTGCCTTTGGATGCTTTGCCTTAGACTTCATTCTCCTTCAGACTCAGCTCTCATCTTCACTTTCTTTTCATATGCTCCTCAGACTACCTAACCCTTCTGAAGTCATTACTAGTCAGTCCCAGTACTTTGTCCCACATTTTCCCAATGCAATATCCCAGAACTGAGGAACCCAGAAGTCCTGCAGTCAATCCACTTTGATTCTTTCTTCCTCTACATCTTCCTCATTCAGTTTTTTTTTTTTCCCTTGCCTTTGGAGTGAGATTCTTCTTTTTTGTGCTCCAGTGGTCTTTGGAAGAGTCACTGAAAGCTCAAGGTGTGAAACAAAGGGCACCAAATCCTTTAATAAACTTTTATAAAGTGAGAGGTACAGACTTTTCTAAATACAGGTAACTTTTACTATAGGCTACAGTCTGAGGGTCATGTATGATAAGAAATTATTTAGAAAAGAGAAATATGCTCAGCTCTCAGCATACAAAATAGGGGCAGAAAAGTTCAACTACAATGTACTTGCTTGCAAAAAATAATACTGAGAGCATTATTCTATTTTAAGAGTTAGAAAAAACAGGTCTTTTCCAGCCTCTTTATGATAAATATGGTATTGGATGCCTTAGCAAGGAGGTTCCAGAGGCACAAGTGTTGCTAGATTTCTTCCAGTGCCCAGAGAACACAACTGTGGGCTGAGACCCTGAAGACTCACTGATTAACTCTGGCATAGGACTTCATTGAAAGATCAGCCTTCTTGGATTTGCTGATTCTGACCCTTCTGACCACTGGAGCAAATGCTCCTCTCCAGAGATGAAAATGATTTTTGAAAACTTAAAGACACCCATCAGCAAACCAACTGGAAGAATAAGCTGATTTTAGTAATCGTGAGCAATCCATAAAATACCAGCTCATATCCATGAAATGTGTGTAATTACAGCAGATGGCCATCAAATTGCAGCCAAAATCTATACCAGGAGAGGCAATAACAATTCTCATCTAGCAGAGTGCAAATACAGATATCAAAACAACAGAGGTGAAAAGAATACTTTTTAAATCCATGTTGCAAATATATAAATAATATCAACCTAAAGTCATGCCATAGGTGGCATAAATTGAAAACAGAAAGTGGAAGGGACTCAACCAATGCTACTCAAGTAGTGTTTGCAGAACAAGGAGGAGACTGGGCTTGCCAACCCTTCTCTTCCATCCTTCTCTCCAGCCTCTCTACACATACTGTTTCAGCTCCATGGAGCAACAGGAGAGGCCTTACAGCACAAAATGTTCAGGAAAACTGCTTTGCTTAGTGAGGAATTGAGTGTCAGGGCTGGCAGGGAGCTTTGCATCATGGCTGGTTGCAGGAGTGCAACAAAGTTGTTGAAATATACCAGTTCAGTGGTGTGGAGAGGTCATCCCTCCTCTCAAACCATTGTTAACCTCACTTGACCCTAGCTAATGAGGCCTTCTTCTCTCCTGAGAAACCTGTTTTCCTCTTAGATTTTGGCCCAAGAGTAAAAATTCAACTATGTCAAAATCCTAATAAAAATGAGAGAGAGTTGGCAGTTTATTGTCATGTGGAGACTCAGATCCAGGGAAGATGCTCAGCACCAGCCTCAGGAGGCATCTGGGCATCAAAACTGGAAAACAGCTGAGGCAGCATGAACTGTAAGGTCTCTTTTATCACCCCAATGTCCTCCTGTCTCTATAATAAAGCACTTGATGTGCCATTTAGAGGTACCAGGCAAACTTCTGGTTTTTCATAAGTAGCTAAAAATATTAAGACCAGGATACACTTCCTATTTTACTTAATGCATCAGCTTGAGATAGTTATAGTTTCTAGCTCTGGGTGTATCTTTTGTTGAGCAATTTGCCCACAAACCTAATTTGGTTTGCTAACACATCCCTCAAATGCACTCATCAGATTTCGAGGAGGTACATTCAGACAGCATTGCAAACTCTTTGTTGGTTGTGACCTGTGCTGTGGATTTTCTGATGTGGATCACATGGGAAATTATTACCAGATCCAGAGAAAGAAAATGCAAGTAAAATGCAATCAATTTCTGCTGCAAATTTTAACATTTCTTGGTTGCATGGCACTGAATACATTGAAGTAATTTTTAAATATTTGTTTACTACTATGTGTCATATAGTAAATGAAACTTATTCCGAGTAAAATTTGAGAAACTTGTTAATATATACGGTCTGAAGTAAAATATTTGTTCTTGGTCATTGATACTACCTAGCACATCCCAACTGAAAATGTATTCATTACTTCATGGTAAGCAAAGTTAAACAATCTTCAGCAGGAAAATAGTCTACTTTCAACTTGCTATGTACTTTGATCTATGTCACCAAACAACTTTATTGTAAAACTTGAAAGCTTATGGATACTTGTCACATTTATAGAGAAATAGGTTGAACACATGTCTCTAAACAAAGAGCAGGAACTGCTGGTGTGAAATTCAGGAATGACTGAATCAAGTAGGTTTGATCCACCTATCAAAAGTTTTCATTGCCTTGCTTGGCCAGCTGTAGATCACAGATAACAAACTCAGGCCTTTTTTGTTATAATCAAAAATTTATTGAGAATGTGTACAGAAAAAAAAACCAACCATCAACAGAGGTATGCACTGCTCAGGGAAGAGGTTTGGGTATCTTACAGTCAATGTTGCTTTATAGTCAAAACTGTGTAATGTTTTGCTAAGTTCAGTGTTTAAGAAAAGATTTGCTTTTCCTGTTCAGACTGGAAAATTTTCCTGTTAAGACTTTTCCAAATTGTTCTTTATGCGTCTCCAACCTAAAACAGAAAAAAAAGAGTATTTTAATGTTCTTCTAATGAAAGAAGTACCTAAGGCTATGATGACATGTTGATAGCATCCATACATAGTCATATTAGTTGGAAATTAAAAATGCAGCATTTAAATTACACAAAGGCAAGGGATTATTCTTGGTCATGAGACTATCCACTTATCTATCCATTAAAAGAAACAGTAATGTAGAAGGTGCACTAAAATTAAAGTACTAATGTGACTACTACTACTGTGACAAAATGATAAAAAAAGCCAGCTTCTCTAAGATGCAGTGGGCTTAATTTCAGCTGTCCCTGCTCACTATTTGAAATTATTACTGAAATGTTTCAATTATTATTGAAATGTTCTGTGTTAATTTTAAATATCTCCTTGGCCCTGTGGTCGAACCTGTTTGACATTGTCTAAGTTGTGCTGCTGTCCATCCACTGACAGTCTGTTGAATGGGATGATTTTCATTGCCGATTTCTTCATGGAGTACCACCGGTCACGCCAGGTTGCCCAGATAATGCCATTGTCAAATCCAGATGGACCAGCATCTTCTGATGTGTACACACCACCTAGGCAACACCAGTTGGAGCAAAACAGTTGGTAGCTTTCTAAAATAGTGCCCATACATTTTTCTGGTCCTGACACTCCATGGCACCCCTGGGTGATCTAACAGACTCTGTTCACCCTCTTTCTCCCCTTATTTTGTTTCTCTCAGGACTGATTATCCCACTTTGGAATGGAGAGCAGTAACAAATTCCTACTACTGGTGTTAACAATTATTGCAAAGAACAGACTATGCCAGCTTTGGAGTATCCAGAAGGCAAAGTGTATTCTACAAACGTGACTCATTTTCCTTTATCACTGAAACGTGGTGTCCTGGATATAAGCACTCAGAAGACACCTTACCTACATAATATTTGCCATTGAGGTGGCCAGCATGACATCTATTCATCCACCACCCAGATCCGTCCTGCTCAGCACAGTTGCCTTCATAGTTATCGTTGTCATTGTCGTGGGTACTGAACCTCATGCCATTGTGGTAGGTGTAGGATTTATCACTTGGGTCATCCCCAAAATTGAATCCATCAAAGGCATCCCCGGCGTCGCCGCCAATGAAGTAGGCGTAGGTCAGTCGGTACTTGTCCTCTTCACTCCCCACTCTGAACACAGCGTAGTCAGCAGTGCTGGGAACAGAGGGCAGGGCTGAACATGGGCATGCTGCACTCCCAGCACACGCACAAGTGAAAAATGCATCAGCACTAAAACTGCAGGAAAGGCATTTATTGCATCCTAGCATTTCAGAACGAATTGTTTTCATGTGACTGTGGGCCTCAGTTCAGTGACACACATCCAATCAACATTTGTGCTCCAGTACCCAATATATTTTCTGACTACTAGCCTTTAGTGATGTATGAAATATCTACATTATCAACACACACACAGACACACACATATATATAAATGTATATATAATCTCCCAGGTTCGTAATAGAAAAAGAAATAAAAAATAAAATAAAAGAACAGTGTAGACCAGACCTATAATAATCACATAGTCCATAAGATATGTAAGACAAAAAAACTTGGAGAGAAGAAACAGATTCTTTCTGCCTAATAAATGAGTGCTGACAGCATGTGGCCTTCTGACAGGCCCATGTGACTGCAACACCCAGTGACTGCTGTCACAGCTGTAAGCTCGGGAGCCAAAGCAGTTCCATGCACATGTTATCTGGTCTAAGAGTTCATAAATTTTTAGGAGCAACCTGTCAGTACAAACTGATGCAGCAGTAGGAGCAGGAGGTTGTAAGCTGGCATTCTCAGAAGCATAATAAGCAAATACCTTTTTTTGCCACTCCAGTCCTCCAGCTCTATTCGTAAGGTATATGGCAGAGTGGACTGTGTAGTTATTAAATGCATCTTTTCATTGCCCAGCCAGAACTCAGTGGTGTCATCTGGAGACAGATGTCCAAATCCTTCCTTGTACTGAACCCAATTTCTACTGAAGTCTTCGCTCCCATCCAGTCTCTGGAGAAATAAACCAAGAATACCAAAAACAAAAATAAAAACCTCAGTCAAAAAGATATGTATCATATGTAGGTAAATAAAAACAGTACTCATGCAAAAAGTTTGTTTACAGCAGTAATACATAAGTGACATACCCTTTGTAGTACTGTCCAGCCATTGCCATATGAGTCAATCTCACAGTAGACTAGGAATGACTGCTTGGCTTTCTGAGGCTTGATAAAGTACAGTCCACTTTTCCTTGCACCCTTATTTGCAATGTCTTGACAATCTGAAGTAAAGATATTCCAAAGATCATTTTCAATCTAGCTACAATTCTATCCTTACATTTATTTTATATTTTAACTTTTTTAGTGCAAGAAATGCAACTTATCTAAATAGCACTGCTGCATATTAAGCTACTTAGTCCACATAGTTCAATGTCATTGCCATAAAAAACCCTACTGAGGGTCACAGGACTCGTGTAAGGTGAAGATGAATTTAGTCTCATGTAGACTTTAAGCAGTGTAAAACGTAGTCATTGCATTGATTACTACAGCAACAAAGAAAGATAATTCTGGACCTAATGGAATAATTAAATTTTTTTCCACATGGCTTAGTAGAAATCTGATGAGTTATCTTCTCTTAGTCCCATGGAAATGCTAGTCATGTCCCTTGTGTTTAGCACACATTTTGGGATAATCGTATTTTGGCCAAAAAGGCCAAGCAAGAACTAAGTTCCATTTGAATCCTTGCCTGCAGATCATCTAATTTGTACTGACTGGTTTTATAATGTGCAATTTTATGTATCTTTGCAGAAGTCTATGACCCATAAGATTCCAAGTAAATCATTGCTGTGATGCCAAGCAGCAGCACTCGTAGCTGAATTAACCCTCAACCATACAGGAAATATTCTGCACACCTCTTCCAGTTGTCTCGTGAATTTCAGCCCGGTCCTTGCACGGCTCCTGGCAGAGTGACTCAAGCTGGGCAATCTTCTGTTTCAGCTCTGTGATCCTGTTGCCGTTCATTATATGTGTGTCTGTCAACTGTCTGGACAGAGAGACACAAAAATGGGTTGTTGTACCTGCTGTTTGGGAATGTGTAACTCTCCTTCATTTCCCTGGACACATGCCTCATGGATCTAATGTGCTGCTACATGCATCCCTGTAAAACGGGGTGCCTCTCTCAGCACTGGTATTCAGAGTTAAGGACAGGCAAAATGGGAAAGCACAGGCTTAACCTCATGTAAAACTGAACCATATGCAAAACTTGACTCTAACCAGCAAAACTCTAACCAGTAATTAATGTATTAATATAACTCTATGGAAAGTTTTACTTTCCTCTCCTGATGGAAAGGATAAACTCCTCTTCAATTATGGATGTATTTGTAAAACTTAAGTGCTCTAAATAAACTGCTGCAAGTGTCAGAATGCCTAAAAAATCTTTGACATAATGTCATAGAAGCAGAGATCTGTCAAAAAATATATCCTTAAGATTTAGTAAGATTAATGATGTTTTCAATTCTATTTCCAATGTCAACTTATAAAAGACTATCACTAAGTTTATGGTTACTTATGATTTAGAACTAGGTAACTGAGCTAATTTTCATGGATGTATGCAACAAAATTGGCCAGAGTAAATGATTGCACAAACATTCCACATGCTCTGCTTTACAGCAAAAACTCATGACCTCCAAAGGTCATGAAAAAAATTTAGGGATAGCTGGCACAGCAGGAGAAACATAAATAAAAATATTGCCAGGCTTCATGGAAATTCTTATCTTCTACTTCTTGCACAATTAACAGTTTGTCCAGGTGAGCAGAGAATTCAGTATCAGATCCTCATGATCCTTCTGTGTCTTGCTAGGTAGCTACTAATGCCAGTGTGGGCAGAACTGTCCTCAAGAGCACAAAAAACCTTTCTGAGAGAGGCTTTTTGGCACTTGACAAAAGAACAGAAAGAAAACAATTTGTATTGTCACTGATAAAAGAAGTGGAAGATACCTACTGGATAGTAGTTTCATGAGACAATATAGTGTTTTCATATCTGATAATTTCTTCAATTATTTTCCTGGACTTTTGAGTGAAATCATCAATTGAATCTGTAAAACAGAAAAGATACAAAATAATTGTAGTTAGGAAAATTTAAAAAATAAAACCACATAAATAATGTTTTTCAGTTGTGTACTTATTTTTATATGCTCACTTGGTAATGTCTGCTTTTCTGAAGGATAGAGGCCTTGGATGTGTTGGATCAGATGGCCTGCTGTTACTGTGGCATTAGAAATACGCTGCAAAAGTCTCTCCATTTCCAGCAGGTCATTATCCACAATGGAATGGTATTTAGCAAAGAAATCTGCAATGCCACAAGTTGTTGGGCAGAAGCTACCCTAAGGAGTAAAGAGAGACAGTTGTCAATGTTTCAGGGGCAAAGCAAGTAGAGCAGAATGTGTGGGCAGAGGAACTTTCAGTCACTGCTGACACAAATGATAAAGGATAAAAAAGGGCAGGCATTCGCAGCAGACTTTGTATTTGAATTTTCAGAGGCACTACATGCATGCAGCAAGAGAACAGTGCATGCCATTATTGTAGCATCTGCTGGATATGTGCTTTCATCCACTTTTACCAAGCATATACTGCTATCAGTAAATGACAGGTTTAAGCAAAGCACATTTAATAAGTACTGAAAACAATGATGGGGTTCAAGTGATAACACTGCTTAATAATCAGCATAGAAAAGCTTTAGTTACATTCTTAAGATAAAAGAAAATGTTTCAGGTACTTACAAATCTGTCATCCAGTATGCAGCAGTTTTCTCTGGTAGCAATGTACTGAAGAGAAGAAAAGAGGGCTGGTTTTAGTGGATTTTCTCCGAGACCCCTTTCTGCGCTAGCACGCAGTTCCTAAAGGCTGTCTCTTCACTTACCGCCATGCTGCTGGAAACGAGCAGGGCGAGGAGAGACCCCAGGGGAGCCCAGTGGCACAACCTCAGCCCCATCGTGTCTGTCCCACCAGGGGCACTTGTGCAGTCAGCAGCCGAGAATGTTCAACCCAGCGCAGGGTGGCAGCAGTTTAAGGCAGCAGGCTGAAGCTGGGGGCGGGCACTGGGAGGTGGTGGGAAGAGGTGGGGTAGGGATCTGAGGTTGATTCCCAGAATTTGCACATACACTCCTCCCATTTTCAGAACCCGCTTTGCACTTAGTCGCCTGATCTCTGCTCCAGCCAGGTCTCAGGGGAGGCAGGAAGGTGAGACAAGGCATGGAAATGCTACACCTCATCACAAACATCATCAAACTCACACATTGCATTGTAACAGGGGCTGGCAGAAGTTTCACTCCAACAGCACAGGTAAAAGGCACAGTAGCAATCTGAATTATCTGTACCAACTATCAATTGCCTAACAACAAATGATATTTTGGGATTAAGTAGGTCTTTCCCACCACAGATCTCTACATGTTTTGCAAAGAGACTCAACACCATTTTCCCAGTTCTGTAGATGACAAAACTGAGGCAGAGAAAGGTGTGAAGTCATTTGGCAGTGGCATATCTGGAAAAGAAGTCTGTGGTATTTCTCACAGGCAATGAATGTTCCCTATCCTTCAACACACTGAGTCCATTCCTATGACTTTGGTCAATGCTTCCTTGCTGGAGAGCTAATGTTGTTGGTATCTGCCTTCTTCAATACTGCTACAAGAGTGCTGACAAGCCCTGTCTTCTGCCATGGGCTTTGTTCCAGCAAATTACTTTAGTATGTCCTTTTGCATGCTCTCTGTATTGGGAGCATTAAAACCTTTCCACTCATGACCTAGACCTGATGTCTGAACTATGGCTTCTGCAGAGAAAGACTGATTTTGTGCCTGTACAGCACAATGTGTGATAAGGCAGTGTTGAATGAGGCTTTTGACTCTGTTACACATTTGACCAGATGATGAGAAGAATGGTGAGAATGGGGGTCAGGGATAGATCTGTTGTTACTGGGGTCAGCTTTGTGATTTCAGGCAAATTATTTTGTCTCTGTACAGCAAGATCAATTCTTCAACTTGGCTTAATAGGGATTTTAAAAAGGGGGAAAAAGCATTCTATAGGAACCAGATTATTAGAAAATTAGATATGATTATGCCCTGAAACATGGAGAGTTCCTGACCTGTATATCCTCTTTTAATCTGGTCAAATCAGATCAAACAGAAGGCTCCCATCATGTTCAGACATCCACCCACATATTGCCAGAAGGAAATGTGAGTGTTTAGGATGCTAAAAATCAATCTGATGTGACACAAGTGAGGCTGAAGCATTGTGCCTGAGAGTGTCAGCTTTCCAATAACTGTACTGCTGACCAGTGAGTTAGTTGCCAGGCTGCCAAAAGTCTTTTCCAAAGGATGATCGATGCTAAAGGTTTGTCTTTCCAAATCTGATATTAATTCCCTTCAAGAGCTATGTGCAGAATGTGCTCTTGTTGACCTTACTGATACAAATAGGACGTTTCCACCTTTTACAGAGTTACTTCTGTTTCCTAAAGTGTGAAAATAAAGTAAATAGGCTGGGTAGAAGTCAATCTGCTCTTGTGTTTTTTACTGTTGCTTCACTGGTGTTGTTAACATGGATTGAGGAAAACATGGCTGAACCTCCTTGTCACTGCTGCTCATACACCGAGCTTGCTTTGCTTCATCTTTGCAGCTCATGACACAAGGGTCCACAGGGTCCTAGAGATACCATTCCAGAGGCTGTGCACCAGCAGGACTCCCTTAGATATGACATGAGTGGGCTGCTGGTAGGAACTTTGTTAAGTAACAGCTTGATGTACACAGATGTACACTGGATATACACTGCAGAGTACAGATGGGCACGTACTGTTTGTGATGCAATAGGTGAACCACGTAGCACAATTCAGGTATCCCTCATCCTCTGACAGAATAAAGAACACATCTTTCCCTTTTGTCGTTAGAAGTAGCACATATGGGCTTGAAACTCTATCAGAAGACTATTTGGCAACAGAAAATGAAAAAAACTGTCTTGTGTTCCTAGGCAAGAATTTCAGAGAAGATGACAAAAGTGAACTCTGGCAGTAAAAGCCTAGTTCATCTTGAGTTAAAAACCCCAAGATTTTATAGTTACAGCATGAGAATGGCTATAATAACATCATAACAATGTATAAATAGAGTTTCAATGTTCAAGGTAAATGTCTAATTGGTGGGAAAAACAAAAGGATCATTATTCTTACAAATGGGTTCGGAATAGGAAAACTGAATTTTCAGTCAGATGCTTATGTTACACAAAATTATCATATTTACATTCATGAAGGAGTCAATTTTCAACATTGCCTCAATGATTACCAAATATTTGCACACTGCAATTATAAGTGTTGCTCAGCTGTATTTGTGGTTACAACTGTGGTACTTCTCAACAGAAGATGTAAATATTTAAACCTCAGGAAATTTTTGTTTGCTTTACTGATTACGTGGTCATGAATAATTAATCATTTCATACATTTGCTTCTTTTTTCTTTTCTTCTGTTGTTACACCTTTCATTACTTAGAAAGATCTTAGTCCTACTTTTAATTAAGTTGAAAGCAATACATATCTTAGTGGAATGACTATGTGGTATTTTTCCTCTCCTACATACTATTTTGTCTTGGTGAGTCCTGGTTGCAAAACAGCTGACCCACTTACCCACTTACCAAACCAGTGTGCTAGAGACCTAATTGTACCCTCAGATATGTCCAGCCTAATTTAGCCAAGTTGATTTTCTGGTCAGTGTTTTCTTTCCAGTAAGTCTGATTGCTGGTTTGGTAACAGATGAGGAACAATTCCTGGTAGCACAGATGGAAGGAAGAGTTCTCAAACTCAGTGTACTCTTTTCCTGCAATTTATTTTTGAGGAGAGAGTAAAATTCATTATTTGTTTGAAAAAGCTTTCTTCAACTCAATATTGATTAGTATTTTTTGTCAGCCACTGGGACACTAGCCAACACCTGCCCATCATTCATAGAAAACCTTTCCTCAGAAAAACAAACACGTTTGAGTCTGTAAATTAGCTCCTGAATATCAGAATACCCTTATGTCTGACTTGGAAAAACATCTGTTTTTTAAGCTTATACTTACTTGCCTTGAGCATCTAACCTGAGAAATCAGTCTACAACATTTTAGAAATGTTTAGTGATGAGTTTTAAGATTTCCAGTGGGCTTTTATTACTATTTAATTGAAAGTGTTCAGTGGAATTGAAATGAACTTGCATTTTTTTAGATGCTCCAGAAGATATTTTTCCTATTTAAAAATAAATAAATATTGAAAAATACCAAATACTAAATTATGAAAAAAAAAAATCCCTGCAACGCTTTGCTATTTATCACCAACATGTATCACCCTGCTTGCATTACTAAACTGATTAGTGGGCAAAATCCCCTTTTCTAGGTCAATCAATAAGTGTGATAATTAGGATGACAACTAGAGACAACAAAAAGCTGCCTCGTAGCAAATCTATACCAATGGTGGGTGAGAAAGCCAAGTGCACTAAAGAGAAAATGAAAAAAAAGTTTTGTAACTTATCTTTCTCTTTCAATTTTCAAAATGTGGGCGAAAGGTAAATAACAATATTTTTTTTCCAATTGCATAGTCCACTCTGTGCAGCACATTTCTTCCTCACCCTTCCTGAAGTAAAATGAGTCAACAAAATCAGTTGCTGTGTAAGGGAAAGCCTTTAATTTTTTTACACTTGTGACACCATACAGGTACTTTGCTCAAATACTCACTGGAAATAGTTGTTTCTTTGAAAACTGAGTGAAGAACAGTAAGAAATGTATGTACTTCATGTCAGGCAGAACCTTTCATTTTGAAAAGAAATTATGGGGTATTTTGCTGCCTCCACACCGGGAATATGCACTTTAGAGTGTATTCTTTAATACTTACAGGCTAATGTATTTTCTTAAATCAAAACATGGAAGTTACAGTGATTCATGACTGTTCATATCAGCACTTTTAATAACATAAAAGATACTTTGTTTTTTTGCAAAGAATAACCAAGGGTTATTGCTTTAATACATAGTTTTTATTTTGACTTAAATATCACTACAAACAAATTTAAACAAATATGTTAAAATTACAGGGCCAAAAATCAAGACACCTAATCATCATAATAGTTCTGAAGACACCTCATATCTATAAGTCAGATATTTGATGGTTTGAATGAGCTAGTATCTTATTTTTGAAAAATCCTATTGTGTTTCTGTTTAGTTAGTTCTGCTTGCCTAATTTGATGCAAGTTGATTAAATTTTATTTAATTTTAAATAAAATTAAAGATTTTATTTAAACTTCTTTCAAATCTTAAGGTATTAAGAGTGATCTTATGTCTGAAAAAAAAGAATGTGATATAAAGGAATGGAGTCAGGATGATTCAGAAGATAACTCATTCTGTTGTTTTGTCATAACTGAGGTTTTTCTGAGTCCTGTAGTACATGATGTTATACCTCGAAATTCTAAAAATCTCCTACAAAGCCCTAAACCATGTTCAGTGAAACATAATTTTTGAGCTTATTTAAGGGTATTTGATGCAATATAGTAAATTCTCTGCCTTTACTGATCTACAGAAACCATTTTCAACTGTTGATTCACTTAGAAAAGGTTGGTATTCAGACTGTCTGCAGAAGAGAGATTGCAGTGTATGCTTTACCTTGAGGGCAAGAACAGTGAACTTATTTGTTAAACAGAGAGATGCACTAATTTGAGGGAATAAGATAAGTAGCAAATTCAAATATTTGCTGAGTATTTTGTAATTAGTTGAGAGAACAGAGCCTCAATAAACTAAACAGAGTCTACTTCAATAATCAAACATATAGGCTGATATTATTAGCTTGGACAGGAATTTATTGACAATAACATTAAAGAAAATACAGCAAAAATGCAAAGTATTTCACAATAAACCTCTGGAAAATAGTTTGCTTGTACTTTTTAAGCAATCAGAGAAAGCCTGACTGTCAGAGAAATCCTAGAAATATAATGGAAAG